TTTTTGAATAAATATAATAAAAATACTCTTGTTATAGCGAATTGGCTAATCAAATCTCTTAAAATCTTCACTATAGCTTTATAGCAAAGTTAAGGTCTAGAACATAGAGTTCGTTATAACAAGAGTTGACTGTAGTTTTTCAATAATTATGTGGGAATTTACATCTGGAACTTTACTTTTTAATAATGAAGCTTATAACTATTTACTTGGTTTAGATATTTGTAAAGATAAATGTTATGAAATTATTGAAAATACTTTATAATGTTATATAAGTTTAATGAAAAGAGGGATATAGATCTATCAAAATGACCAACTTCATTAGAAATTAAAATAATTATTGAAGATTAGTATAATAATATCAAAATCATTAATTTTGATAAATTGTTAAAAAATGATATTATTAATTTTTATAAAGCAGATAAAATATTAAAATAACAGCAAGATAATATTGCTATTAATAACAAATTTACTACTTAATCATATTCACAAGTATATTATACAAGCTGTTTACTTGATTTTACTGAAAAAATAAATGAAATTTTAAATCCTATTATGAAAATTAGTCATAAAATTGATAATACTGGTAATTATTTTGAATTTCTAAATTTATAATATTTGAAAATTTGATTTATTCAAATATAAATAATAAATTTTTAATTAATAGAAGTTTTTAATATTACAAATATTAGATAATAAAATAAATGATTTGATTATAAATAAAATTCTATATACTGTATTTATTTAATTTATTCTTATATAATAGACGAAAGCTTTAATATGTTTATAATCCATTTATTCAAATTTATTATATTATTTTTCTTATAAGTTTCTTATATTTTATATAAAATTTATTTAGTAATACGATATATAGAATAAGTTTTATATAAAAAGCATGTCGTAATTACTAAATAAACTACTATTATACTATCAAATTATATATCCAATGGTTTTTTGAATTGCTGATTATTATAATGAAAATAAATAGAATTTATCAGCTAAAACTAAATTTCTTTGGCATTTTGTACTGAATAACTATTAATTATCATTTGAATTGAATCATTATATTAATAACCCATAACTTATTACAAAGATTTTTTGTTAAAGTAACTGCTTTTACTATAATAACTATTTTATAGGTATTTACTTAAAATTAAAAAATAAATGGAATTGAATACCTATAATCACAAAAAAAAATGGTAAACCGGATAGCAGTATATTTTTCTTGATCAAATTAATATTATTTCGATGCAAAGTATCTTATGAATATGAGATCTCTATATCATCCTAAGAAATACTAGTTATATCATATCATTTTCTAGCATCGTGCGAGATGACAAATATACTCATCGGGCGCGGCGTTGTTTTCGATGGGTAAGTATTTTCCTTTTAATTTTTATTTGGAATGAAATTCAATCAAATTGTTTCCATTTAAAGTTAAACATCATTATTTTTATTATTTTTTATTTTTAAAAAAAACACAAATCGATAAAAATATTGGCGGGTACAGAAAAAAATATATAGAAATACTTGTCTACATCTCTCTTAAATGAACTAGCTCTTTCACGTTTAATGATTTCTAACCCACCCTACAATCCTTATTCCACCTTTACCTTACATCACCAGTCCATTATTGTCGATAAATATATTCCTTCTTTATCAAGTTTCAAATCGAAATTTTTATAATTACTCAATAATGATTCTTGGGATAAGTATTATGGTCCAATAAGAAATTGACTCAATGCTCTTCGTATTATCCGAATTTTGAAGATTTCACGAAGAATTTGAGAACCATCAGGATATTCATCAAGAATATTGCTTAAATTAATTCTTCACCATTTCTTGCATAATTACAAATTTAGGCTACACTTTAATCAAAATTTGCTCAAATTGATTTACATATTTGATTTCCAAATAGAGAAAGGAAAGGCTAGTGGTAATAACGATATTTTCAATATTTCGTATATAGCATAATATTTTATTTAATCTGATTATTCAAATTTATTTGCAAAATCTTTTATTTATAAAAACCGAATTGAACTTGGTATGATAACAAATACGGGCTCTTACTTTTCTTTCTTAATCATTACATATTTTATAGTATCACTTGGGCCTAAAAAAAAATAAAATCAGATTGATATTATAAATCAGACGGTTATGTAAAATATAAAAAATAAATCAAATGTATTTACCATTTTGAAAAAAGCTAGGTTTTTCTTTTTTCTCGGGTTCTTCCTTTTCTTTCTTAATCTGTTCTTTTTTTATAAGTTTGATAGTGCCACTTGGGCCTAAATACAAAAAAATAAATAAATATACGTTCATGTAAATTATTACAAATAAATAAACCATAATTACTTACCATTGGGAAAAAATAAAAGTCCATTGTTGACACCTTTTTTGACAGCTAATCGCAGACGTTTGTTTGTAAGGTTGTTGTCGGGAAGTTTATATGTAGTCAAAATGTAATTTTTAATAGCTTGACGGCTATTATTAATGAATGAAACAAATTATGTGAAAATTTATTAGAAAGAAAAAAAACTTTGAAACATATGAACTAAAAAAAAAATTTATAACCTGCTTCCTTTACGTTCATTCAAAGTGACGATAGCTTCTGAAAATTATTAGTAAATTAATAAAAAGTTTTTGATGCGCATTTCATTTATTTATTTTTTAATCAAAGCATTTTCTGAAGTATTTCGTCGGTCTCTTTTTGAAATTAACAAAAAGAAAGTGACTTATTTCATAACTCTACCTTGAATCATAACTTCGTATTTTGGATGGCTTGCTACCTCTTTTGGATTTACGAGTCTTGAGCTCTCTTTTGCCATTGTTTCCGTTTCGGTGAAAAAAGAAAAAGAGTTATTTTCCAGTCAGTATACATGTAAGAATAAATTTTCTGGAGAAACTTTTAGGTTGCAAGGTATAGTTGAAATGGGGCTCGCTAAGCAGCGTGTAATAATTATATTTGCCAATAAACGTGCGTTGTTTTGCTTACCTTGTTGTGAGAGGTATAGTTTGGCAATGTCCTCATCCGTGACTTTGGTATTTAATAGTTTTTGCTGATGATAAAATTTTGCAAAGTTGAAATCCATTGTTACGAAAAGGAGAGAAGAAACTATTTTTTTTTTTTTCCAATAATTTGATGTGATTTTAACCAGATCGATTGTGCGACGCCAACTCCTTGATTGATTAATTTGATTGTTAGTAATTGCTTATCACAACTTTATTTCTAGTTTATAATGTACAAAGTCTATAAGTTTATAAAGCCCTTACATGAATTCAGAATTCATTTATGATATATTTACTTAACAATAATTTCTGCAGCTAAGCTATTAAAATTATTATCGCAAGGCCCTATAGGATCATGCTAAGTTTTGTTGGACCAATTTTTTTTTAAAATGAATATCAATAGTTTATTTGCGTGCAATATTGAGCATCAATAGTAGCATATCTTTGTACAATATTGCTATATAGTAATAAAATTTAAAAATCTGTAATGTAAATTTTCAAATTAACCTGTTGTAACAGCAACCGTCAAAATTTTTGAGTAACACTAGGAAATGGAAACCATTTTAAGTCCGGAGCGAAATTTTTTATTTAAAATTAATAAATATAAATCAATAAATTAATTAAATATATGTAAAAAAATTTTTTTTTGATTTACTGATCTTACACGAGGCGTGACAAACGGAAATACTCACGTGATCATAAAATTTCACACTATTTCCTAAAAGTATAATGTCCTACGCTTCGCTCCGGACAATCAGTCGAAAAAATCTAAAATTAGATTTTAGTCCCCAGTAAAAATTTCGTTATTGAAAATACTAAAAAAATAATTATAATAATTAATATTTTAATCCCTGTCGCACTAAGTGTCACTCATGATTATTTTCATACAAAATTCAAAAATTAAATTTCTAATAAAATTAGTGTAACAATGTCCCCGTGGGGTGATTTTAAATAGCAAAATCTCAAAGTTGATTACAAAAATTAGTGCCCGTAGGACAGACATTTCAAAATAAATTTCTTATCTCGTAAGGTGATTTTAATAGCTAAATTATAAGTTCAATAAAATACATCATATCTTTCCAAATCCAGCTGATGTAACGCACTTAAAGCTTTAATACCCGTATGTTAGATATAGTTCACATTTAAAAATCTGGAAGGTTGTTTGATGTATGTATATGATTGGAAATTTCCATAACTATTCATGCATGAGATGGATTTCCGTTACTTAATCTTTTTCCGCCTATTTTTGAACTTTATTAATTGAACTGAACTACTAAAATCAGTTTAATTCTTATCTTTGGTTAAGTATACGAAATTCGATAATCTGATTGGCTTCTTCCAATATCCATGATATTTTGTTTTTCTTTTCCTTGCATGGAAATAATTTATTATTTGAAAAAATAATTTACGATGTAAACAAGCATATATCAAAAAAAGTTTTTTGCGTTAATTGTAATCGCGTTCAAATTAATGAAATTTTGTTCCAAAATGAATTACGTCGAATGTAGCATGCAAATATCAAAATTATTGTGTATGCGTGTTTGAAACAAAGAAACAATTTGATCCTCAATTACGTACTGTTATTATTCTTTATTATACTTGCAGGTATTTTCATTACTTCTTCTTACTTCATAATTAAAAATCAAGGGTTTCTTAGATAAAAATGTTCATTTAGAGAATTAAACATATACTTGTCTTTCAAAAACCTTTCACTTATAAAATGGCAACGATTTTAATTCTCTTATTAGATCAAGTATCTTAATATCTTAATCAAAAAGACTAAAATATTTACGATCACGAAAAATAAATCGAATTCATAAAATAATTATTAGTTTCTTGCTCATTTGTTGGTTATGCTTTCATCGGTTATTCCAAATCAACTTCAAAAAAGACAAGCACCGTAGTTTTTGGAAATTTCCGGAAAATTTTAATTAAATCTTTCAATTTTACCTCTCGCTTTGGAAATCCAGACTGGTACAGTCTCTAGACAATTAAAGAAATCTCTAACTTTTAATATAGTAATTCGTCACTAATTGTACATCTTCAATTTGACAGCTCGGGTTGAACACGATTCCATCATTCGTACAAGATTGTTGGAAAGTATGGATTTGTAAAGTTCGGTTTGTATTGTAATGTGATGGGGATGCAATCTTTAGCAAAAGTGCGGATTTTTTGTGCTGGAACCAATTTAATACACTAGTGAGTTGAGTTTAATTTACGAAACAACAACCATTTAAGTGTTTGGGTTCGTCTTGAAATTGGTGAAAAAATTTTGGCCGACTATCTATGATAATAAATTTAAGTTTCGTAAATTATTGTACAAAATTCCTTGGAATTTGTATTAAAAATGTGTACTTGTGAATTTTTTATTTAATAAATACTTCCTTTTTAAAAAAAATTTTTTTTTTACAATTTTTTTTTTTTTATATAAATAAATATATTATTATTATTTTATAAAATATTTTTAGAACAAATTAAAAAAAAAGTTACGCTGCCAAGAATATTATTATGATTTGATATTACTTTTGGTAAATTTCATTTTAATAGATAAAATATAATCAACTTCAGTTGATTATTGTTAAATTATTTATTTTTATGTATATTATATTTAAAAATAAGTTGGGATTCATAAAGGATTAAAACTTCGGTCAACACGTGGCACACCAAAATTTTGATTTGAAAAGTATTACAAAAATCAGAAAAAAAGTATTTGAAAGTACGCGTGTTTATTTTTAAATAACTAGGCTCGTTTTAATAGTTTCTGCATCTTTGGAAGATGATAAATTATGTGACACTATCACTAATGATGGGGATAAATCTTATAACTTTCATGGTATTTTAAATAATTGGATAATATTTGAATGTTACAAAATTAAATAATATTTTTTATTTTTAAAGCTA